GTGCAGGTTCCAAATCTGTGCTGGGAGGGGAATATCTGCCCAGTGGGAAAAGCCTTTCCCTTTCTTCAGTTTTCTACTTCATTAAAGGGCTGCCCAAGCACTGGCTCTGTGCTCAGGGTCTGGTGGAGCTTCCATGTGGACATTCAGCTTTCTCTTCGGTAAGCACAGAGGCAGGACAAGACTAGACATGGTGACAAGCAAGGCACACTTACTTTTTTATTCAACAAATGCTTCCCGAATTCCTCTTCCATGCTAGCCACATGGAGTACAAGATAAACAATGGTCTCTGCACTCATAGAGTTTATGGTCTTGTGCAAGACCAAAAACAACACACACCCAAATTAAAAAAGCACTTAGGGTTTAATGTTCAAGACTTTGTTACTGGGTCAAGTTCATCATGCCTGGATGCTGCTTGTGCTTGGGTGAGTTTTTTGTGTAAAGCCTGTCAACTCTCAAACAAATAGACCCTGACAGCCAGCCTCACTGTGGGGAGGCAAATGTCCCTACCCCCTGCTGCTGGGCTGCTGGGGCCTAGTGCAGATTAACTCTTGCAGAGCTGAAGGTGTGGAGAATTTGTTTCAACACTCAGTGACAAGCAAACCAAAACACTTGACTTTGTCTCCAGGACAGCTCTTTATTCTCCGCCCTACACTATGGTTTCCAAACTCCCAGCAATTCCCAGCAGCAGAAAAATGGGTGGTGGAGACCAGCCAGGCATAACTATGATGACTTCACAAATACAAAAAGAGGCCAGGGATTTGCTCATCCTGGGGGAGCAGCAGGTGAAGGGAGCTCAGTGCAGGGATGTTGAGGAAATGGGAAACTCTGGGGGAAGGTTCTTCAAGGGAGGCTTCACCAAGGGGAAGGGGAAGGTAGAAGGTTGAAGAAGGAGTGCTAAGGGAGGTCTAGGAGGGATATTCTCTCAGGGTCCAGAGAAGCCCAAGGGCCTGGCAGGGTGGGGTATGGCAGGGAGCGACTGGTTCTTCACCAGACACTGCACTGTTTGGATTTTGATGTTGAAAACCTTGAGAACCAACCTTCCTTGGAGTTTCGTGTGTGTGTGTGTGTGTGTGTGTGTGTGTGTGTGTGTGTGTGTGTGTGTATGAAGTCTCCCCAACTCCCTAATGGCACCTACAGGAGATGTGTTTTGGCCTTTGTGACCCTACATAAGGGAAGGATCTCATGGACATCCTATGAACAAACAGTCCAGCTGAGCCCCACCTGCTTCTCCTCTTACCCTCAGTCCCCACCTTGAATCCACCTTGCTCTATAGCCCAGAGTTACAGACCCCAGGAGCTGAAGATGGGGAGTCATTGCCCAGAGACACCCAGCTGAGGCTCCAGCTCAGTCCGACAGTTCTGTGACTTGGAACACAGGAACTTTAGTCCCTCCCTCTGTTATGTGTCTATCCATCTGAAAACACAGACCTCAAAAATATGAAGAGACCATGCTACTGAATGGGATCTTGTGAGAGATGCCTTCCCAATTTGAATGATTTGACTCTATTTACAAGTAGAATATTCTGGAATTGATGTTATAAAGTCAGTTTAATAATTTAAGAGGGGCTGGGGATGTGGCTCAAGTAGTAGAGCGCTCACCTGGCATGCATGCGGCCCAGGTTCAATCCTCAGCACCACATACAAACAAAGATGTTGTGTCCGCTGAAAGCTAAAAAAATAAATATTAAAAAAAATAATTTAAGAGGCTGATGCCATTGTGGGAGGATAGATGGCTGAAGACCAATGTCCTCCCCGATCTCCTACCTCCAACTGCCCAGTCCTCAGTGCTGGGTTTTCATGGAGCACATGGCTGACCTGAAGGAGTGCCTCCAGAAAGTGGCTCATGGACTGCACATGGCCATGATGTGGGCTGTGGGCAAGTGAACAGGTGACTTTGCAAGTGGAAGTTTAAATTCTTAGAGGCATGATGTGAGCTTTGACTCTCAGTTGGTGATCACATGGTTGTGGGGTAAGGGTAGATGGTTTCATTGATGAACAGGAGGGTGGTGGTGGTGGTGGGGCTTGGGCAGCACAGAGCATCTTGCCCACATATCACTATCACCCTTAGGCGAGGGCAGGTTATTATGAAGTCCTTGCCAGTGGTTTCTGTGGAGTCTGGGTGAGAGGTAAGAAAGAGATGCCCCTTGGGCCCTACTACCCCTATCCCAGGTGAATACTTTAGGGACAAAATCAAGCTAATAGGTATCTTAGGCTGTCACTTTGGGGCCTTAGATTGTCACAGTGTCTGTTGGGGGAGAGTGCAGTGGCAGATTTTAGCGCTCACATGAGCCACCTTTTACTAACCTATGCTCAGCCCCTCCAACCTTACCCTCTAAACTTTCAGGACAGGCTCCATCCTCCCACCACCAGGTGGTTCTGGACCCCAGTCAGGGATGACGGTTCATCTTGTACTTCAGTCATCTCTATCCATGATGAATAGCTGTGAAGTTCATGGAGGGGAGTCTCCAGGTGGGACCTTTTGCTGGTGCTATGACCCAAAGGGCATATTCACCTACCTGCTAGTTCTGGTTTTCTACTATGTTCATGGTTTAGAATTAAAAGCACCCAACAAATAACCTTCTTTTTGGCACCCCGCCTCTAGTCTCACTTTCCTTCCTATCATCATTTATCTGACCATGCCTAGGCGCCATTCATTTTCTTTTCATCATTTTTTTTTTTTTTTTTTGATACTGGGGATTGGACCAAGGGGCACTTTACCGCTAAATTACCCACCATACCCTTTTTCTCTCTTTTCTTTCTTTCTTTTTTCTTTGGGGTGCTGGGGATCGGATCGAACCCAAGGCCTTGTGCATGCAAGGCAAGCACTCTACCAAATGAGCTATATCCACAGACCCCCAGCCTTTTTTCTTTTGTGTGTTTTATTTTGTTTTGTTTTTTGCAGTAGTGGACATCAAACCAAGGGCTTCACCCACACTAGACAACATCTCTCTACCACTGAACCATATTCGCAGCCCCCACTGTTCTTATTTTGAGATAGGGTCTTGCTGAGTTACTGAGGGTGGCCTTGAATTTGTGATCCTCCTGACTCAGTCTCCCCAGTTGTTGGGATAGTAAGCATGTGCCTCTTGACTAGCTTTAATTTTTTTTAAAGTTCTTTTTTTATTAAAAAAAATTTTTTGAGGGGGTCAGACGCAGTGCATGCCTGTAATCCTAGTGGCTTGGGACGCTGAGACAGGAGGATCGAAAGTTCGAAGCCAGCCTCAGCAATTTAGCAAGGCCCTAATCAACTCGGTGTGACTCTGTCTCTAAATAAAATGTAAAACAGGGCTGAGATGTCACTGAGTGGTCAAGTGCCCCTAAATTCCCTGGAAGCCCCATCCCCGCAAAAAAAAAAAATTTTTTTTTTTTTTTTTTGGTACTGGGCATTGAATCCAGGGCGTTGTACCACTGAGCCACATCCCCAGCCCTTTTTATTTTTTAATTTTAAGATGGGGTCTTGCTAAGTTGCTGAGGGCCTTGCTAAATTGCTAAGGCTGACCTCATACTTGTGATCCTCCTGTGTTAGCCTCCAGCATCATTGGGATTACAGGTGTGTACCACCATGCACAACAATTAAAAAAAAAAAGACTTCTCGCAGCCAGCTGGATAAAATCCAACCTTTTTGGCATGGTAGATAAGTCCCTTAAAGATAGCCAGTTCAGTTTTAGGAAAGCTCTTTGCAGAAGATGTTTTCAGAGCCCACAAAACAGCCATCCTCTATTTCCTTATTACAAAGTGTTCACAAATTTTATTTATTGTTTCAGTTCTGTCCTCTTCTATATTCAGGGAAGGAGGTCCCTTTGTAGCCTAAAGGCGTATATGACTATAATTGATCTAAGCCATCCTTATCACTTCTATTCTTCCTCCATTATGGGTGGAGGAGTGGGCTCTGGGATAGTGATATGTGGGAAATATGTAGGGATACTTCTGGGAAAGGCTTTCTGCCTCTGGACATGTTTGTGGATGTAATGCGTACAGCTGCAAGCATTCTGAGAACATTCCCCCCAAGTCTTTTTTTTTTTTTTTCCTTTTGGTATCAGAGATTGAACCCAGGGACAATAAACACTTGGCCACATCCCCAGCCCTCTTTATATTGAGACAGGGCCTCGATAAGTTGCTTAGGGCCTTGCTAAATTGCTAAGACTGGCTTTGAATTTGTGATCCTCCTGCCTCAGTCTTCCAAGACTCTGGGATTATAGGTGTGCCCCACCTGCGCCCAATTCAAATGTAATTTTGTTTTTTTGTGTTGCTGGGGATTGAACCCAGGGCCTCATGTGTGCTAGATAAGCACTCTGCCATTGAGCTTAGTCTCCAGCTCTTTTTCTATTTTATTCCTTAGATTAAAGCCATTTCTTGGGGCTGGGGATGTGGCTTAGGCGGTAGCGCGCTCGCCTGGCACGCCGGGTTGGATCCTCAGCACCATATACAAACAAAGATGTTGTGTCCGCCAAAAACTAAAAAATAAATATTAAAAAAATTCTCTCTCTCTTAAAAAAGCCATTTCTTTTAAAAAATTTGTGTATGCTTATTTGGGGAAAAATTTAAACAATCTCACTACAATATTTGATTTTTTTTTTTTTTTTTTTTT